GTTAAATCAACCCAGAACTCACCACGAGGAGGTGGCCGCACTTCGAGTGCCACCCACCCACCCATTTCTCCATTTATCTCAATATATCTTACTTATTTATATAAAGAGATCATTACAATTTTGGCAAGTCTTTTTTGGCATCAAGCTTAGCACGTAAGTACGTAGAATTTTCACGACACCCAATTCTCTTTTCTCTTTTTTGGCATTGTTATTAATGTTCTCATAACTTGGAAAAATATAACAATAATAGCAATTACAAAGGACAACTAAAATTATTACAAACATATAATTTCGGATACTTTGTAAGGTATATAAGAAAACAAAAGTCAAATATTAAATTAAAAGAACAGCCTGAACTAAATATAAACGACCAAATGACTGACGTAACTGAACCAAGGGTTAACGTTAAGTATTAGGTGCAAATACGAGATGGTAATACCAATTAATTTTCTTCTACTATGGCACCGAGATCGATATTTTCTGGAAATAATCGGTTTGCTGCATCATCGATGCTATTTAGTAAACATGTTGTTGGAAATCTTATATTATTATGGTGCCTTTCATAACCAAGAAACCATAACACTGATGCAACATGTGCGCAAGTACTTAAAGTTCTCGAACCGCATGGACATGTACAATAATAGTAGATAGTGGATCAATATTTTCATTAAGTTCCTCTTCGTATGCCAACCACAGCATATATTTAGTTGCGTTTCTGAACCTAGAATAAATTCTAAAACGTAAAAAATTATTCTCTTCTCTAAACTCGTCTATTTCTAAAACATTATTTTCCTCTCTTTGCAGTTTATCTTGAATATATGATGGACTTAAATAAATATGGTAAGAACCAACCAAGTCTTTTAGGAAATTGATCTCTACGCGAGGAAATTCAGGAATATGCATGTGGTTCAATCTTCGCCACCGACCATTTCTGGTAGTGAGATTTTGGGCTTCGACGCGTGCTTGTACAATATTAACGTCATCTAGTTTGTTTAAAATTTCAACTGCTATGTCCATTGTACCTGGTAGGTTTATAAGAGGATGAAACTTATTTAACAACGCACCTGCAATCTGATAAAAACCACTAAAATTAACTGCATGATGCGTGGATATGCGGCCTTTAAAAAATTTAAAAATGGATTTAAAATGTCCATTTCTGGCTTCTCCAACCCAACGAGTTTTAGTTATTAGTCTCGCTCTATTAGCTTCACTTGTTGATAATTACCATTGGTTTTGATGAAGCAAAGGTGGCATATAAGTAATTAACCCAAGTTCTTCTAATCTAGGAATTACATCTCTGTAGCCTCTATCTACTATTACTATATCTCCTTCTGTAATCCAGTTTCTAAATTCATTATTATCATTAACCAATTGTTGGCGTAAGATTGCTGCATCATTATTAGATTCATCAGAAAAATAGGGACCATTGATTGATAAAATATATCCGTCAGGAGCTACTGTAATTTCTGGCTTAACTAAATGTTCCTTCTTAAAATAGCAATAGGACTGACGTAATATTCTAAAATTACTACTTTTTTCAATTGAGTTATATGTAAAATCGACATAAAATATGGCCTTTGGAATATTTGCTATAGGGTTGTAAGGCGCGTTTACGAATTCAAGGACATGATTGATGATATAGTTTTCTCTAGTTATTGATCTAAATCCAATATTACTAGGTACAAATCTTTGAAGCAGGGACATACGGACATTAGATATGACTATACTAGTGACTTGTCGGGATGAATAATTAAAAAGTAATTTTATGAACTCATCTTTTTGAGCAATGCTTCTTAAGTTGCCATATTGTTCTATTGGTTCACAAAATTCATATAATTCTTGAAAATTCTCTTTAGAAATTGAAGTTAAATATTTAAATTCTTCTAAACTAAAAGTATTTATGTCTTCCCAATTTTTTAAATTATTATTAGCATTAGCAGCCGCTCTTAAACTAGACAAAAATTGCTGAATATTAACGTGGAGGAATGGTCTATAAACAAAACGTAAACCAGCATGTAAATGAATCATTAGTAAACCCGAATGATTCAGATGAATGTCACAAATCTTTAGATATTCGGGTACATAAATATTTGAGACTAAAAAAATATTTGCTCTGCAAACTGCCGATAGTTTTCTTACATTTACTTGTGAGTTATAAATTATACAACCACGAACTGAGTGGGGTGTTAAAACATTAAGTCTTAGGCAATTTGGATCATTTTCAATATTTCTAAGTTCCTGTGTAATTGCGTGATAATAGTTTAAATATAATCTTACTTCTTGTAGATTATCGACTGCAGGATGTCCGGCAGCTTGTCTTCTAAAATTAGCAATGTTAAGCACATCTATATTAATTATTGTCCTCGTCTAAACGAATAGTGAGTCGAAGTTAAAAGTGTCTATTGCAAACATAACAGCTAATCCTATTTGCAAACGCCATATTTGCAACAATATTTATTTAAAACAATAATACAGAACGGTCTAATGCTCGCTTAAAGTAATACAAACGTCATTTATTATAAAAGTCAACAATATGTTCAATTATTCGGAAAATATTTAATCATAGCCTTCTAGATCAATATATATAAATCAAGTGTAAGCATGTTTATATATCCTATAAGGTTGTTGGCATATTCACCACTATTTAGAATTTACTAATAAAATCTATCAATCGTCAAAAACTCATAGGTTACAAAATATACAGGGTAATTAATTTTTGTGAAAATCTTCGGAAAAATTATGTATTATCATAGTAGATATAAAAAAGCAAAACTTCAGGCATGCAGGCAGTCTTTAGCCTTATATTTTATCATTACGAGTATACAGGATGATTCTTAACACGGTATCAGACGATTATTTAAAATGCCTTGCTTGTGTCGATTAAAACAAGCTTAATGTCTGAAGTGAAAAATTACGGAATTACAGGATGTTAAAGATTATCTATATTTCCCACTTTAAATCATTAAATACTTAACAAACCGACTTGCATGCCTTTGCACAATGAAAATATAAAAACAGGCAGGTTATTCGAAAATTACGAATATTTTATTACCCTATATTCATATCATATTGTTTTGGAAAGGCCTTTGAAAAATCAAGAGAGGAACAGGTAAGCTGTAAACTAAAAAAATATAAACAAATGTTTCGTGAAAATTAAATTACAATAATATGTCTGCTCGACTTATGTTAAATATTTGAAACCAATAAATACTATATCTTATATGAATGAGTACCAATAAGTAGATATGACATTTATACTTCATTGTGTGCATAACTATTACTCAATGGATTATCTAGAAGAAAACTCGCAATGAAACAGTAGTTAAGAAATGGATAATTTCCCAGATTTTTCTTCTCATTGACTACTTCATTCTGAGGCTCCATTAAATGTTTTTAATTTCTAGTTATTCCAAAAACTGTCAGTTTGACAAAGTTTGGTATTGGCTATTTAAAATATAAATGTATGTATATTTATAATCTTTTTCAATAAAGAACTTACAAGCAATTTATTTTCTAATATTTGGCAATAATTTTATATATTGTTGATTTTTCCACCTTGCAAGTTCAACTGTAACCATCCTGCAAGGGATGCGACTTAAAACAAAATGTATTGGGGGCTTTACCTCATTGGTGGTGTGAATGGAGCTCATAATCTTATTTAAATATATAATACAAAGTGGCACTTATGACTATACTCGAGCCACATAAACCTGTAATCTGATCATAAATCATTTCTGCACATCCTACTGAGACCTACCATATATTCAACTTTTTGTACCAAAATAGAGTATGACCATGTATATGGACTTATAATATTTTTTTGATGAACAACAATTATTTTCAATTTTTTGGTAACAATTTCAACATTTTGTTGATTTAACTTACATATTCAACCGCGATCACCCTGTAAGTACGAATTTTTTTTTTCTTTGCAAATAGTACAAGGGCTATATTCTTAATCTAAAACAGTATGTAAAAATATTTAATATAAGATATTTCTCTTGAAAATATCTACTTATGTCAGTATATATTTATTGTTTAAAATTCATATATTTGGTACATATTAAGTTATATTTGGAAAACTAGTCATAGGATCTAATTTTACCAATAAGAATTTTGAACGAGTACATCGAGTACTATACGATATCAAATATTGAGAGACTCTGACGGTGATATTTTTTTTTCGGTATTTTAGCTATTTTTGTTCGGAGGGAATACCTACTTTGACCAAAAAAGTTTTGCCGAATCATTAATCACCCCGTGAGGTACAATATTTTAATTATAGTAGTTAAGTATGTATTTTGACTACACAGAATGAGCAAAAAACTTACAAAAATATTTAAGGGTGATTTATGGTGTCCATTTTAAAGAACTAGGGATTTCTAACTTCAACACACTGTATCTCAATATCTAGTTATAGGATACGATTGGGACCATGGACACTTTTGATGGGGACATCAAGTTATTTAACACATAAAAAATTCAGACATTTTGACGGTACTCCCGTTTGCATAAGAAAAGTGCGGAGACCCATCGATGGATGGTACCATGTATCTAAAAAAAAAATTTACTCTTCCTCTTTGTCAACAATGTCTCTGATTGTGATTGTTTAACTAACTCCTCCGTTAAGGAGCAATATAACAATTGTATTTTAAAAAAAATATTTTTCAATTACCTACCACACTTATTCGAACAAATTCTAGATTAAACGGATTTTTCCTAAATTAATTAAGTTTGAATTTTCAAAAATTAGAATTGGTCTTATAATTACTTCCTTAACATACACTCAATAAATATATCTGTATATAAAAAATTAAAAAAGTAATTAAAAAAATTAACTCCATAAATAAAGGGTCTGATGATGTTTAATGAATCCCTCATCAGATCTTGACAAATTTTTATTAAACTACCCGAGGTACCCACATAACTAAAAAAAATATTCTGATTTATTGAGAAAATTTAACTTATTTTGAAATTTGTTAAAAAAGAAAAGTCATTACCATCACTTTCTTCACTTTAATTACATCCATCATGTCTCTAAACAATGCAGGAGGGCATAACGCACCACCAGATAGTGCAATTTCTACTTTAATATTTTTTTCATTTCTCTTTTTCTGCACTGCTACTAGATCCACATACATTGTCGGCGTTCCAAAAATAACATTACACCTAAAAAATAAAATTAAACATATTAATATACAACGTGCTTTTTATTACCTCAACGATACTAATCGCCAAAAATATGTTCCTAGGGGTATCTGCACAGTATTAAGGGCAATATATTAAAATTATGTTCAAATATATAGAGTGGTCCAAAATAATTTTGGAAAATGATTTTATTGTATTACTAGCAATTGAATCTAAGTAAACTGTTACCAATTTCTGAGTTTTCCGTTTTTCATTAGCGTTGTGTATTTTAACAATGTTAAAAATATTTTGTTTATTCAGTGTGGAATTAAAAGTCTTCGAAACAATTTTCTGTCTTTGTTGCATATTTTTGTTTGGTAAATTTTTCTAAAAAAATTGCTTTTTACTTTTAATAATTTTCTGCATACCTCTTTGTTTCCAGTTTATATCATTCTAATAAACGATAAAAACAATTTTTTGAAAAAAAATTTCATTATTCTCTACGTTAATAATATCATCATTTAACTATTTTCTATTCGGGAATTGTTAGAGTGATTTAGTATTATAGTTAGCCCAGAGCAGGGCCGCCGAGAGCCAGACCGGGCCGCATTTTCGTTAACTGCACCCATTATGTACCTTTCGGCTTCCCGAACGTTGCGTTGTTAACTGTGGACGATATAGATTAATTTTGCACTATACCTTCTGCACTTACCAAGATTATTTTTTACCAAGGAAGCCGAACGTTGCCTTGTTAACTGAGGTTGATATAGATAAAATTTGGGACTATACCTTCTGCATTTAACATGAATGTTTTTTTTTACCAGTGAATATTATAAATATCAATAAACTATAATAAATTTAATTTATATTTTTCAACAAATGAAACGTATAAAAATTATTTCTTATATTTATTATCTCCGAGAAGGATGTTCATTTCAACCTTAGATTTAGGCATGAGGTGCTTTTTTTTCTTTTCATCCAATATATCAACTTTTCGGCCAGCGTGTTGCGATCTTCTCCCTGATAATTTGATTTTCCTTCAAGAAACTGACGTTGGTTGGACGGAAATTTTTTTCCCTTTTCTTTGGCACCTTGTCTTTTGTGATTTAGATGGAAGGCCTATAAATATTGTGGAAATGTTTTTATAAAATAAGTAAGTCAATAAATAATTTGTAAGCTTACCAGAATATTTAAAAGCCGTATAAAGTCCTGACATCAAAGATTCTGAGGACTGGGCATATTTTTTTCGATTTTCTAGGAATATTTTGACAGCTGGACAAAAAATGAGGCTGTGTCGTCATCTAAGTTTTTTAGTATTGTTTCAGAAAAATCTTTCCATTTCTCTTTCACATCTAAAACTTCTTTGTCTGATGGAATACCTAATTGTACTGGTGGCTCGCTGTTGATTTCGTTATCAATTTCACTATATACATGGTCTGATGATACTTCGTTTTCAGTATATTTTACATTATAAACATTTTCCACATTTTCAACTAAGAGAGGTTGTAGCAAATTTTCGTTGGCTTCTTTTCCTGTGGCTATAAAATATAATCTTCTTTTAGTTTAATTTGATAAAACATTGACTGCTGAGTCAATATAAAATAGTTTTATAATTGCTGCCTGGTGCTTGCATATTTTTCCAGTATTACCATAGTAACAAGTGCAAATGCAAGTCTGCATATCGACAAAATAGGTTTTATTTTTATCTTTACAACTCTTTACAGAGTATTGCATATTTCCCATGTCAGCTATTTGGCTCTCAGTAACATCTTTTTCGTCTCTTTGATTTTTGCTTTTTGAGTATATTCAAAATAATACCTAAAATCCTCTGTTTGGTATAAGATTCAAAGCTAGTAATTACAAAATCGGTTGACATAAATTAAATGCTTTTGTCCTCTCTAAAGTAATGTCTTTGAATAACCTGAACATTACCTCTACATAATTATTTGTATCTGTTCCTGGTAATTTAAATTGCCGTCTGTGAAACAAATACCAGGTTTCTATCCTATTAATAATGTTTTGTACATATTCTTTAAATTTAGGATCGTTACATGAAACGAAAAAAATGTTTTATGCATTTCCAAGTCTCCTTCTGTTGTAGACATTAATAGATTTCGAAAAAGCTTGTAAAGATCCTGGACATTTTCTTGTTTTATTTTTATTTTTGCGCATTTTAACCATTTCCAACATGCTTTCAATACATGGAATGTGCAGAGTAATAGAGTTGAATATGGCCAATTTTTTTTCAGAATATTTCTTTCACCCATGTCATCTGTTAAAATTACTGCAGGGGATATTTTTATTGGCATAATTTCGATTAGCCCTTCTACACCTGCATTAAATACATCTGCTTTTTGTGAACTACTTATATTACATCCGACAGGGATTCCGCCAGCAGGAGAATGGGTTTCAAAGAAGTACAACTTATGGTTCTGGACATCGCATTTACTTACTCGTCGCATCTACAAATAAAACTTCAGAAGCCTGCACTAAACAACGAGCTGCGCGTTGCATAATTGGCGTACAATCTAACACCGAATAATGATCTCCAACTCTATTAATTTTATATTGCACATTTTGCATATTAAAGGAATTTTGTAAATTTTTTTCTAAGTGTTCAAGCATTTTCTGTCCAGAAAGATCGCCAAATCATTTTGATTACGTGGCGTAATCATTTTTTGTAGGAAAGTAGTGCCTATCCAAAAGATAGTCTTCATAATTATGACACAGCTTATACAATACAGCTCCACAACTCCGTGTCGGCGTCTTTGATCTGGCGGTCGAGAACCAAGCAAGACGGAATGATGCTATCTCTATTAGATTAAAGGGAAAAGTCGGGCCCGGATTAAGCAATTTTTTTATTATTGAAAAAATTGAAAACCTTGACGTAATAAGGTTGATTACATGCCATGTTAAGTAAGTTTTGGGAAATTAAATTTTTAATTTGTTTTAAATCTGTCAAATATAATTAAAAAATTATTTAAATATAAATATTACGAAAAATAGCACATCTTTCGGATTAGAGGTAAAATAATTTGTATGTGGCTAGTAAAATCCTCGTTAACAAATGTTTTGAGCTAAAACAGTCACTTCACGACAAATTGTGACTTGGATCCTTTTTACACCAAGGGCTTCAATTGTTAAAGAAATGTGTCACGCTCGTGGATGCAAATCAAGTGGTACCCCGTGTCTCTGGCAAGTGTTACTCTTCGCGCAAAGGGTTTATACCTAGATAAACGAATGCTTCGACTGAGGTCTGGGAACTCTATGGTATTTTGGAATTATAAAGAATTTGTGCTTTTATTTTAACAATATTGGTTATATTTAGATGTATTCTTATTAATTGAAATACAGATTTGTAGAAGTAATACTTTAACAGTTTTTATTAATATAATATATTCAATTTTTATCTGACCATACCGAAGTAGGGAATTTTGAAACTTTATTGTAATGTGAAATTTGAATTACAATATTACACGATATTACATAATTAGTACTTATTTTAGGTAGGTACTAAATTTGTACTTGGAGAAAGTAATATCGATTTTTACAAGAAAACTTGAAAAGTAAATTAATTTAGTTCTTATTTCTAATGTAAAACTTAAACCAAGAAAACAAATAAATTGTAGTTTGTTCAACAAGGGTGGATATGATAGCCATATCACACAAAGACGAAGTTTGACCACGCCGTCGTAGGCGGAGTACTCAATCGTCTGATTGTGATATGAACAATCCACTCGATATGGTCAGTATATTTTTTCTACGACCCACTAACGAAAATCTACAAATTTAAAAAATTATTTTAGGTTATTTAGACAAAATAACTAATTTTAAAATAATTTACGAAGTTGACTAATTTATAAAATAAAATAAACATGAAAAATTAATTAGTCCTCGGCCTAGATTCGATCCCGGGCTTTTCGCATGGAAGGCAGATGTTCTGTCCTCATCTTCACCGAAACTTTCAGGACTTTAGTTTTAATACTCGTAATTAAATTAGTATCATGTAGTTTGATTAAAATTTATTTTTTTTTTAATGTGGACATAATAAAAACAAAAATGCTATTATTTATCGAGTCTACACAAAAATTTTAATGTATATTTAATATCAATAACTAAAATATATACTGACAATTAGTTTAACAGAATTATCACTTATTTAAAAATTTTTAAATAATAGGAGTTGGGTGACCAAAATATGAACTGTGATTTGTAGATTTAATTTTGTTAAAGTGTTTTCACTACCTAAAATGGATATGAAATATATTCGTAGTTGAACGCAATAACATAATTTTTCGTTTTGTAGTATGTGCGTAGATTGGCTAATATCCCTGCACAGATTACAAAACGAAAAAGTATGCTATTGCCTTCAATTGAACGAATATATTTCATATCCATTCTAGGTAGTGAGAACACTGCAAAAAAAATAAATTCGCCAATCACCGTTCATATTTTGATCAACCGACTGCTATTATTTTTAAAATTTTAAATAAATGACAATTCTGTCAAACTAATTGTCAGTATATTTTTTAGTTATTGAGATTAAACATACAATAAAATAAGTTATTCTTTTGGAAAACGTTAGCATGGATGACTAAAGGGTATTGGGTTAATTAATTCTAAAAGTGTGGTACAAATGTTATTTTTTGTAGCCAATTCTTCAAAATTATTTTAAAATATCTTTTCAATATTGAATATTAGTTCTACAAATTCATCATTTGACAGTTGCAGATTTCCAAATGTATCTGAATTGGCGTTATCATATGCCTTTTAAAAGCAATAAAAAGAAAAATCGTCTAATTCAACGTGATCTTTGTTATATTTAAGACAGGTATCGCAGGAGTGGATCCGCAAGGCTTTTATTAAAAGGTAACCACACACATACCTGATAAAAATTTTCTGTAGCAATTCGTCTTTACAATAATTTAGGGTGTTAATAATTTCATCATAAAATAAAATACAAGGTGTTCCATTTAAAAAACATACATTTTAATTTTCCAGGCAAAAACGTGACACCCTGTATATCCAAAGAAATTTTTAAAATATGTAGGTATTTTTCAAATCCATATAACTTTTATTTAAAACTTTCTTGCGTGTCTACAACAAAATAATGAACAATAACGCACTAATGAGACACCCTGTATAAATTATATTTTTAACAATGAAAATTTCTTATAATGTAGTACTTATCGGTTTGGGTCCTTGGGAAAACTAAAGAATGTTTTCTTGCAGGTATAACCCTTATTAAAACAGCTTTTGACTGCACAAACTCATTCTACTCACAGCTAAAGAGTCACCAAAATAATAACAGTACCTTTAACTCAAACAAAATCAACGAAATTATAGGCTCCACGAAATTATACAATCAACGAAATTATACGCACGACTCAAAACCTTGCCTAAGTACGCTTCTGAACGCCAAAACCGTCTTTTCCCTTCGAAGGCGGACCTTAAGCGATGCGCGACGAAATCGACGCAAACCGTTGCCGCCAAGAGAGTGTTTTAGCTGTATTGTATAAGCTGTGATTATGACCCAGTTCTTCCATTTTTGATAAATAGAATGTGTGATATGCTGATGCAACACTATGACCTTTTTCAAATAATTCTAGTATTGCTGTTTTAGTCTCATGTCCGATAGGTCTTTCTTTTAAGGCTACAGCACTAAGAACAGTGTGATTATGATCACCTCTAAAACTTATTACATAGGGCCATTTTTCTATAAGATCATTCTTGAATTTGGATTTAGTGTTTTTTACGAATCTCTTTATAATCACTGTAAGCGTAGCTGGACAGTTGGTATTTCTGCTTTTTCGAGTTTTAGAGGTTTTATTCTCTTTAGTTGAACAAGATCTCGTACTAAAGTGGCAATGGTAAATACGCTTGAAAATGTTTTTTCTCCCTAGGCATTTATTATTGAAAGTTTTCGTTATTCGCCACGTTACTTTCGATTTTGATTCTAATTCCGAAATCCAAATCTGAAATTATAACACTATCACAAAAATGTATGAAAATAAATAGTCATAATAGCTATTTTTACGTAGTTGATGTTAGAAATGGAATAAGAAACAATTAAGTTTTTACAGTCACCCAGACAAGTAGTGTGGATCAAAATTTTGAAAAATCATGTCTCCTCAAAAAAGTTTGTTACACTTTTAAATTTTGCCCAAAAAAACCTGCCCTAAACCGTGTGCTTTTTGGGTATATTATTTGGATTGCCCTAAAGGATTTTTTGAGCCAAATTTAAAACTGAAAAAATTTTTTAAAAGAGACGATCTTTCAACTTTTTTATCTTTTATAGGCAAGAAGCTATCATTTTTTAAAGTCTCTAAATAACTGGCAACACTGCCTATAGTCAGTCTTAACTTAAACTTGCTGTAGGTTATGTTATGTACTCCGTTTTTCGGAGAAATATAATACTTTCGCTTACCTCTACTGCTACTTTGTCTCTGAACATTGTCCTAATTGTAGTACTATCAACTTCATAATACTGGTGATCTGTCGGCAATGAGTCCATGCCTACCACGTATTTGTTATCACTGTTGTAGATGATAGTATGTAAATAATACCGATATACCGAATAAATCGAGTGCGGACTGTAGACGCTACAATAATAATCTGTCGTTGAGTCGGTATAGTTCACATACTTTGATATGTGATATAGTTACTTACAACGCAAATATCACAGAATCAGTTAAGTGCAGACGGTATAGTGTAAAATTAATCCATATCGTCCTCAGTTAACAAGGCAACGTTCGGAAAGCCGAACGGTACATAATGGGTGCAGTTAACGAAAATGCGACCGGGCCCCAGGACAATTCTCCAGATCGGGCCCCGTAACAATTTTATCAAAAATTTAAAAATAAAATAACAAAAGGTTTATTTAATAATTCAACCGGACGTCGTTATAAAAACAAAGTTGTAATTTAAAACAAAGGTTTCTTGACATAAAAACAAACACATCATGGAATTGTTGATACAGTTTTTTGCGAAACTGGGCAATGTATTTAGTTTCACAAGCTATGGAAAATAACAGATGTGGGCTATGAAACTACACGTATTGCTGATACAACAGTTAATCTACATTGTTCAACACGGGTTGGATTAAAAAAAAACAGTGGATACCAGGGAGTACCAAAGAGCACTTCGTGCCTTTGGCGCGCTTTGAAGCTTAAAAGTCGGGGTTAGCCCATCGCGGGGGGAACGACTCAAAACAGGTCTCACGGGGTCATATAATTAATTTTAGTTTTTTTGGTTTTTTTAAAGAAATTTCGCGGCGCGAACGGTGATTGTATAGTTTTATACCGGTTAATCAATAGTGTTAACCGACCAGGCAATTCCGGGGACAATCATCTAATACAGGTGTGATTAGCCGTCAACCCTTCAATGAGACAGTAATTAATCTTAATACTTGAAGTTAAATGGTATTAACTTGTAGCCTGATATATTTGGATAAGCTATTATAATGCTCTCTCCTTTTTATAATTTATAAATAACAAACGGGAATTTACTGAAGGATAAACAAGTTGCTATTTAGGCAATGATTGTAACCTAAACTTGCTAAAACTTAGTGCCATTGTCATAAATTTTATTTCAAATTTTACTAGGAATTTTATCTTGATTTTTCAATTTTTTCTTGTTCTGTATGTTGATTTTCATTATATTTTTTGAAATGTCAAAACTCACTAAACCTTTTTTATTTTCATTTTATTTGATTACTTTAATAACGGATTTTAATTAACCCCTCCCACATACCCCAGTGAAGATTATGATACGAAAGATTAAATATTCTTCTGAGGATTAAGGATATCAACTAGAAAAAAAAAGGTTCACGCATATTTAGCCGTGACGAATCACGCCTTAGTAGGATATTTAATTTTTGGTAGAAAACCATAGTGCCTTTGACCGCTCAACAGACTTGATAGACATCTAAGTTAGACCTATAAGTAAGTACCCTTTTAGATTATGTAATTTCTCTTTGACACCAATACAGGGTTAAAGTCTAGTTTGAATAAGTCAGTCTATAAGTAATAATTTTAAGAAAAATAATAAATACCCACAGTTTTCTTGTAGAAAGTATATACGCCAAAACCAGCGGGTATTACACAAATTATGCGAACTACCACCCCTACAAATTTGGACACCAAGTTTGGAAACACCCTGTATATTTACTTTTCGCTCTAATTAAACAAATAATTACTTTAATAAATTACGTACTCTTCTTCAACGATAGCTGTCAAATTTTTTTCTGGATCGTATCCATCGGAAGGTAACACTATTGTACTCCCATGGTTTATACTGCTACTGATAGCCACAACTGTACCGAAAACATGAAAAAATGGATTCTGCATACATATTTTTTGATGCTTCTTGTGTAGTCCGACAGACATTCCACAGAAATATCCACAGTTAACAATGTTAAAATGACTCTGAACTGGTGCCTTGGGGTTTCCTGTCGTACCCTGAAAATGCATAATTGTATCAATAATACTCTTAGTGCAGTTAAAATCAGTTTAATGTATTTTTCTGGTTGCAATCTATTATTGTAGCTAAATATAATTTATAGTAAAGTACACCATTTGTTTTGCAGTGTGGCAACGGTGTAAAGCAGACGTAATAGTTGGTTCATTCATAAAAGCTGTGCTCGCACAAATCATCCCCATTCAATTTAGTAGATGTACCACTCTTTTAAATAGAGCTTTGAGGCGAGAGTTCTGTCTGCCTAACATAAAGTAAAAGCTGAGTACTTGCAAATAAACAATGAGGTAATTATAATGAGGTTAATATACTATTAAATACAGCTAATCAACTCCTAAAACTACAAGTAATACTTACAGATGTAAATTGGATATTACATGGATCATCCATATTTATTTTGTTTTGATTTTTTTTCACCATTTTAATACTGTCTTCATCAGCTAAATCTAATATATCACTATATTTAAATGTACCCCTGCAAAAGAAATTTAAATTTATTATTTGTTAAACACCTCGACACGATATCCTCATTTGACCCTTCTACACTAATATTATAAATAAAATTTTAGTTATATAGTATATCTTATGTAATCGTCAAACAGCTCTGTAGCGATATTTAGCAAATTATTTTAAATGGCGAAAGTGTAATAATTCATTTGAAAGTTGCTTCAAATCAAAGAATACCTACCCAAGAAGCGACACTAAATGGGCGATTCGTGGACAAAAAATTGCCAAGTTTTCTCAGTGTTTTAGAGGTAGTTTAACGTCAAATATAGTTGTCAGTTCATGTAGTGTATGACGTTTGGTATATTATTCTTAGCGTTTTGAGAAAATTTCAGTAGGTTTATTTAAAAGTAGTAATTATATATTAGATAGTTTAAAGGTTTTTATTACATTGAAAAAAATACATTGCGTTGTGTTACAACTTCAGAACAAGGGCTAACAATGTTTAAATTCCCAGGAGATGAAAAATATTGAGTTTCAACATCTATGTTTATTCTTTCCAGAATTATATATTTTGAAATTATTTATTAGGTTAAAAATATATTATTCCTTAAAATATTGTAATTCGCATAACAGAAAAATGCAGAAAAACGTTATGTATTAGACTGTGAGTATTTGAAAGTTTATATCATATCACTTTCTCACTCTCTGTAAAAGTTTATCAGGCTTATACATTTTAATAAACGTTCTTTCATCTGGCCGTAAATGTTTTATTTTTAACTTCTAATTCAGTATTATAATGATAATTTTTCTACACCCATATTATAATAATGCACTTATATGCCCATAATCTGTTTCATAATGATACCCATTATGATACAGATTTTTCATAACGATAGAGATTTTTATTCACTAGAAACCGATTATTTTTCAATTAAACATGCTGTGCATTTGACGTATGTCCTAAGTTCCTATGTAAGTTGTCAAAATCAGTACGTATTAAATTTTCGTAGATAATTGTATTATCAAAATGTCTGATATCAGCGATATAGAAGACTTACCATCGACTCCTACACACATATCGGAGAAATCAGAAAATGCAGTACAAAATATTTTGCACCAGCGTGTGCCTCGTGCGACAATATTTCCCACTTGTGTGAAAAATGTCACTTTCCACACTCGTAATGTAATATACTATTTTGTTTGTCAAACCATACGGACTGTGATCGATTTAATCCATTAAATAATATACATATAAACAATTTTATAGTAAGGATTAAAACAGTAATATATATGACAGATTCACTCTGAGGAACCAAGTCGCTGCTATCAGGATCATGCAATCAAAATACATTTACAGCTACCTACAGTACTTATTACTAAAATTATTAATATTATTATTATTACTAAAATTATTATTATTATTAACATTATCTATTGAATATGAACATACAAGTAAGAATTTTCCGTCATTTTAACTTTAGTATGTGTTTAATTCTCATGAACCAAACAACAAAAATTGATTGGAATTATACGTTTCCCAGTGTATTAAGTTCCCATTTACGTCAAGGTCGCTGCTACTTTGGTACATAGAAAAACTCATTCAGTTTCGCTTCTTGGGTATGTATTCTTTGCTTCAAATATCTTCAAGCAAGTAGTAGATGTGTAGGTGTGTTTTGTTCCTCCTCTACCTCTGCTTCAAATATCTTTAGAATTTAGGCATAATCAAATAAAATGAACATCTTTTAAAATACCATTAAACTTTTGTCTTTTGAATGGAAAATAAAGAGTGCTTTCCTACCAACCAAAACGTATTTCTATATTTAATCTTTAGCCGTTCAGTTTACATTTTTACATGCTCCATGTGTTTTAATTTGGCATACAGATTTGGACCCAGATATTTTGCTGTTTTCTTATTTAGTATATTGTTACGCAGCATCCTGCAGCGTGCTGCGATCGTCATAAGTAAAAGTACGAGTAGAAGAAGATAGAATAGTCCAGAAATTTCTACAAATGTCATTACTTGTCAAAAAAAAAAGTTTCATGATAGATGTTATACGTTAAAGTTATCAGTTGTAAAAGTTAAGTTGAAATAAATTGAGATACCAAAAACCTGCGTAGCATTGGTGACAGCGGTGGGATACAAAATAGAAGTTCATGGTAAATAATAGAACCACTGTGCACGAAACGGATATGGATACTTCAGGCCCACAAACATGGTTTTTGAAAATGGAAGAGGAAAAGGCAAGGCGTAGGAAGGAAGAACAGGAGGAGAAAGAAAGGCGTAAGAAGAAAGTAAAAAAGGAGAAGGAAAGGCGTAGAAAAGAAGAAGAGAAGGAAAGGGAAAGGCAAAATAAGGAAGAAGAAGAGAAGAGGGAAAGGCGAGAAGAGGAGAAGGAGGCGAGGCATAGAAAAGCGGAGATGGAGATTATAAATGGCTTCCTGCCATTTCAAGAAAACCTTAAGCAAGAAGTAGGTCAACTGAACAGTCGAATAGATCTCTTAGCACAACAACAAGATAATTTAAAAACTAATGTAATACAACAAGAAATGGCTAGAATAGGGTTAGAAAGGCAAATTAGAACTGAATAGTTGATTTAGAAAAAAGAATTCGTAGCCTAGATTTGACAAGCAACAGAGAAACTGCGAACACTACCTCGTCCTCAGCTATAACCGAATCAAGCCATATCCAAAACCCAGTTTCCCAAAGCCATACTAGCAAAACATTAAGGTACCCACGTTTGACGATCAGACAACATGGAAAACGTTTCGACTCCAATTTGAAGCTGCAGCTGGAGTTAATGGCTGGATTGAGAAAGAGGTGGTGGCTTCATTGATAGTGTCGTTGCGAGGACAGGCAGCAACCGTTTGACAGTTACTTCCCCAAGAAAACCCAGTTATTTATCTCTCGTCCAAACTTTAGAGACAAGGAATGGCCAGCAGCATTTGCAACGGGTATTCCAAAGCCAGCTAAAGGTTCGTAGTCAGAAACATAATGAAATTCAGAAATTCAAAGCCGACATAAGAAGGTTGATTCATCTGGCCCATCCACAGGCGCCGAAAGATTTCCAAGAACAAATCGGAATTCAGGCATTCATTGATGGACTGCAAGATGTGAGAATGCAGCAAGCCCTTCGTCTACAACATTATAAGACGCTGAGGGAGAAACTTATTGCAGCCCAGGAATATAAAGCTTTAAAACTCATATCTAGATCTTCTCGCGCAAAAGTAAGAGAAATAAAATCCCAGGAAAGTGAGGAGGCCAATAGCAGATATGTTTTAATTGTGGAATCAGGTACCTTTAAAGAACCTGTAGAATTAGGAAATGAGACTGAAAAGTCACATAGATCAATCTTCCGAAGCCCGTCACGAAGTCCAACAAGCAATAGTCACAGTAGCTATGCGTCCCGAAGAAGCCAATTACCTACACCGAGCTGACTTTCTAGCAATAATCAAAAAGTACAGTATCGTAGAGACTGTCTCCATAGCAACGCAGACATTCTCTCCAGGCGACCCTGTTTAGAACGAGAATGCCGGTACAGTAAGGGACTCGGAGAATGGGAGGAACCGGTTAATAAAATTACTCTTCGGGCAACCACTATCAAACCAGAGGGCGACGAAGAAGGAATCACCTTTGAAAGCCTGAGAAAGGGACAGAAGAAAGACAATGACTTGAAGGTTGACCGAGAATGGCTCAAAAATAAAGTCACACCACTTGGCAAGCCAAATACAATGAAGCTATTATAATATAATAATAATAATAATATTAATAATTTTTATTGACCTTTGAAAACAAATAATACAAATTCCATTTTACATACATATCCTTATAAATATCCATTTATGTTAACAAGAAAGAAGGTCAATAGGCCCTTTGATCAGCATAAGCTGTTCTTCCTCAAAGGCCTGAGTACCGAGAAAAAAAATAAAATAATATTGATTTGCCTACTTAAGAGCGGAGATACCTAGGAACGTAGATAATGATTGAACTTTTTTTTTAAGTTATTTATATAAAGGTTTTAGCTTTGCTATCCAAATTTGTTTTTTAAATTTAAATTTGTGCATACATTAAACATTTTATAATTTTTCATATTTTAAAACTCTTAGATTACTTAATTAAACTCCTAGATTACTTAATCAAACTCCTAGATTACTAATAAACTCCTAGATTACTAAATTAACTCCTAGATTACCTAATAAACTCCTAGATTATTAAAGGGTACTGGATTCAGTGGGACTCACTGTATCATCACGATGGCTTATTGCACCGAAAGTAGGAGAATACTGATGGAGTACATATAGCCCACCAAGTGGTACTGCCGAAATCACATGTTAGAAGTGTGTTGAAGGAGCTTCATAGCAGCCGTTCGGAAGGACATTTTGGTATTAAAAGAACACTGGCACGGGTTTGGGAAAGATTTTATTGGGTTGATTGCCGACGGGATATAGTGGATTGGTGTAAAAAATGTGATGTATGCAATGTCAGGACAAAGGTCTACGGATTCGCTCGGGAACGTTTGAAAGTTAATACCGATAAAGCAGAAGCTAGAATCGACAGGCGTGTCACAGGGACACATTTTGACTAGAGGCGACCCATACGGATGTACAGTCCCAAGCACCGAGTAGGACTTTGTCAGAAATCGCAACGGAACTGGGAAAGGCCCCTACCATATCCTTAAGGAAAATCAACGACCTGATCTACCGCACTCAGCAGTCAGCGGGAAGTAAATCTAAGGTAGTTTACATTGGAAAGTTAGCGCCATACCGTGGTCCAGATCCTCCTTGTTAGCTTCAACCAGGTATTAGTAATCAAGTTAGTCGGCGCGAATAACTAGAGAGGAGAAAGCAATGTTACGAAGCACCCTGCACTGAGTTGCGGTCGTTATAAGTAAGATTACGAGTAAAAGAAGATAGAATAGTCCAGGAAGGTCTGAAAATGTCATTACTTGTCAAAATAAAAATCTAGGCAGTTCGAGATGGTTCAAGCCTTGGACTAAGTAATAAAGAGTAGTCTAAGGTTCAAGCAAGCTA